ACACTCGAAGTAGATTGGTCTCTCTAAGCGAGATCCCAATTTCGTCGGTCATCCGACGTGACGTCTCCGTTCCCTTCTTCAGGGAACGAGGGTTACCATACGTAACAGAGACGATTTACTGCTTTCTGAAGGATGTTTCAGATGATCCCACTGTGCGGTAGGATCTCAGTGGGCCTTTATGTGCAGCCCCTTTTGATTTGCTTCATCAACTCCTTTTAGGAAAAAAGAGACAGAACTGATTTTTTTACATTAAGGGAACATTTTTTCTGTTATCTTCAAAACTGGACTGTGGAACTTGGAAAAAACTGAAACACACACTGATTGCACACCACACTTTACTGATGTTCTTGCTACAACAGTTGTGTTAAATATATATTGTGCTCATTTCAATACAGTTCATGTGCAATGGTAATCAATTTGTGTGTTGTCAATAACTTCCAATTATACAATTCACCACCTTAGAATCCATTTGCTTTAAGTTTGAGTATTTGAACCTAGTGTGTACTTTCCCTTTAGAGAGGGTTACACTTCCTTGGACCACTTTTGATAGATACTGACCACTGCAGACTGGGAACACCCCACAAGAGCTTCAGTTTTGGAGATGCTCTGACCCATTCTTCTAGCCATCACAATTTGGCTCTTGTCAAACTCGCACAAATCCTTACGCTTACGCATTTTTCCTGCTTCTAACACATCACCTTTGAGGACAAAATGTTCACTTGCAGCCAAATATATCCCATCCACTTACAGGTGCCGTGATGGAGAGATAATCGGTGTTATTCACTTCACCTGTCAGTGGTCATAATGTTATGCCTGATTGGTGTATACAAATGCTGCGTCTCAATGTGCCTACTTATACTACGCCCTTAAAGTATGTACTCTTTTGGTGAAGAAAAAGTACACACTTTTGAGTATGTAGTAGAAGAGTAGGCAAGCTTTGGGACATACTATCACATCACACAACTGCGTCTTTAACAGGCGCTCTCTGTCACATAGATACACGCACCCTGTCACTGTAAACTGGCCTGTCAATCATCTTGGCACAGTTAACATCCTCCACATTGCATTTCATTTAACTTCCTACCGTATTGGAGAGAAAAGAAGTAGCACATTGATCTGCCAGTCGCGGGTCTTTCATGCCGAGAACTCTGATCATATTTTATGCATAATGATGCATTTAAAAGTTAACAACCAAACGGATGTTTATAAAAGTTTACATTGCTGTTGCACATGAAATATAACACAGATAACATTAAATAAATATTTTTTACCAGGTTAAATGTTGAATATTAGTAACTCCAACCCCTTTTTCTAAGCCTCTACCTAACTGCCAGTCGCGCACATCTGCTATGTTTGTAGTTTTTAATGCGTTTTATTAGTGTTTGTTGTTCTGGACCGAATCCTTCGCCAAAGCGCAATGGATTGTGGGCAATATTAGCCATTATAGTGTGCACGGATCCACACTTCAAAAATCGACCTGAAATAGTAGACCATCCGGAGACTTTTGGCATACTCTTTTCAACATACTATGCTTTGGGACACACTTATTCTAATCTCACATACTATTTAGGATGGATAGTATGAACACTGACACGCAGGGTTAGTATATAAAACATTTTTTTACTAGGGTACATTTGAAATTCTGATTTGAAGAACCCCAGGAGACTGGCCTCTGACATCATCTCAAACGATTGCTAATGTTGATGGACACAACACTGTCGGTTTGAAGTGAGAGCACAAGCACTCTTGTTACCGTGGTGACTAGAGATTTCCCATGCACCCTGTAGAGATGAGAGGAGACATGAAAAAAGAGAATAAGCATGTAGAGATTGCTGTGGAAATCTTGATGACTCTTGACTTAGTCCATTAGTACATCAGCAAAATTCATAACAAAAACATCTTACCTGAGAGTTTATTTGATGTTTTGTTTTACCTTATTTAAACACACATAGATCTGGGCTTTACAGGGTTTCTTTCAAATTAATTTCAGGTAAGCCACATCTGAAAAACAACACTAGATTGGGTACTCTGAAATTCCCTTGACATTTTGCCTGAATTTTTGAATATCAATAATAATAATACAATGGAAGACTGAGACATGTTGTCACACTTTACTCTAGTGAATATTTCTCAGTGTAGATTTATAGTTAAAAAAGACAATTTCTGTACACATACATTTCCACCATTATTGTCTTAAAAACAATGGCATTCCTAGTTCATCGATATTGGTACCTTTAGCCATATAATAATAATAATAATAATAATAATAATAATAATAATAAAGAAATATGAAACACTATATTCTACAGAATATCGTTAACCTACTTAAAATGTTTTATACATTATTGGATTGGATTGTCACAATTCAGAAACTTCCAACATGTGCAATCAAACCTCTACAAATGAACACAGCAGCACGACTGGTCTTCAGTGAACCCAAGAAAGCCCACTTCACACCTTTTTTTATATCTCTGCACTGCCTACCAGTTGCTGCTTGCCTATAGAATAGCCTCGAGCTCTGCACCCTCCTACCTTCACTCTCTCTCTTACAAGTCTACATCCCCTCTAGATGCCTGCAAGGCACAACATTTTCATTCACTGTTCCTGGCTGGTGTAATGATCTTCTTAACCCTATCTGGACAGTCTAATACCTGGCAATATTCAAGAAACAACTGAAAACTCATCTCTTCATCTTTTCTGTGAGCATTTAACTGCATACTTATGTGCTTTTACTATTCTTATATCGCTCCTTCTTCTAGCTTCTATACTATTCTGGACAATATATGAAATTTTATATTGCTAGCGCTTCTCGTGTTATTGCTTCTTTATGATAAATCACTTGTTGGATTCCATATTTGTAAGTGTCTTTGGATAAAAGCATCTGGTAAATGACTAAATGTAAATGTAAAAAACTTCAAATCATTGGTACTAACAGCTCTTGTAACTGAGTTATAGAACCCGTGTGACATCTTGCACTGGCCAGACATTTGTAAAGTGAATAAGAACATGGTTAAAATCTGCCTTGATTACATACAGTAGGTTTACCTTGTATGAATTCAGATTCAGAATTCAGATGTATTGTTCTAACTTAACTCCGTTTTATCTAGATATTTGAAGCCAACATTAGAAACAAGCATTTTTATATTTTTTGACATCTGATGGACCTTGCCCTTGGTTCCTGAGATACAGACCTTGTGAAAACTCTCTATGTGACAGAAATATGTATATTATATAAAAAAAATAAATATGTATGCTTTTTTGTTTTTCTAAAACGGTTCAAGATTCACCTGGAAGTAAAAGGACACTCTGTTGCTGGCCATCATGTAAAACAAATGCTTCACAGTACATTGTTACTTCAGCCACAGGAAAGCTCTTATGCAAATCACTGAATGTTTATCTGAGAGGGGCTAAAGCGTGTTTCTCATTCACACAGTATTCAACCTTAAACTTGATAGCCTTTCAGAGCTCAGATTTGTCCAAACACAAGCACAGTCGAGGCACTGAAAAAAAAAATCACTGAAATTGTTTATTGAAAACACTGATAGGCACTAAAATTGTTTGTTGAATAGAACTGTAATGCCATCTACAAAAGCACATCAGCAGCATCAGAGGCATGCTATTTTTATCATCCTAATGACTTTACTATAAATATAATAGTATAAAAGTTATGCCAGTGACAATTATCAAATTACTTTAATTTATGATATTTTGATTCAGGTTGTTGCTGGGGTTTCTTATCTCATCAGCTTGCTATGCATCTATTTGTTAACTACATATAGTGAGTGCTCTCAAAGGGATAGTTCAGCCAAAAATTAAAATTACTTGATGATTTAATCACCCTCAAGTAATAGACCTTGTGAAAACTCTCTATGTGACAGAAATATGTATATTATATAAAAAAAATAAATATGTATGCTTTTTTGTTTTTCTAAAACGGTTCAAGATTCACCTGGAAGTAAAAGGACACTCTGTTGCTGGCCATCATGTAAAACAAATGCTTCACAGTACATTGTTACTTCAGCCACAGGAAAGCTCTTATGCAAATCACTGAATGTTTATCTGAGAGGGGCTAAAGCGTGTTTCTCATTCACACAGTATTCAACCTTAAACTTGATAGCCTTTCAGAGCTCAGATTTGTCCAAACACAAGCACAGTCGAGGCACTGAAAAAAAAAATCACTGAAATTGTTTATTGAAAACACTGATAGGCACTAAAATTGTTTGTTGAATAGAACTGTAATGCCATCTACAAAAGCACATCATGTTTGATCTGAAGACATGAACATGAAGACCAGAGATTAAATAACATAAGAATTACATATCAAATATGTGACTGAAAAAAAAAATAGCTACACATTCACCGCTTAAACAGAGTTCTACTTCAAGTTATCAATGTGCTGAAGTTGAATAGCTTGGATGTGGTCTTAAAGTAAAATAAAATAATATAATATAATATAATATAATATAATATAATATAATATAAATGTTCACTTTTTTACAGATTATTAAGACATTTTTGTAACAACAGTTAAGCACATTTTGCCTAAATCATCTTTATCTGAATGTGGAAAAAGAAACAAACAAAGAAACGG